TTTCTTCAGCCTCAGTTGTGTGTGCTGTGTAAAAGGCTTGGGCAAACATTTTCTAGCATTTCTTTTACTCGCACTTGATCTGGAGTGGATTTGTTTGTACCTCATAGCTTGGCCGGTCACACTGTCATAATGCATGGGTTTGTGGGAGGAGATGTTTGTCAACCTCTGATCTTTGACTGACAAGTCGGTTTATGATCTATTTTTTAGTGCTATTGGGAACTTGAGTTTGAGGGTTATTGAAGGTTTTTGAGAAGGTTGGGATCGTTTTCTTCTTAATGCCTCTCTTTAGGCTTGAGGTACAGATTTGTTCAAGGATATTTCCTCTCTTTTTTCTATGGTTTGGAGGTATTCCTTGCAACACCCATTCCTTGTTTTGCTATCTTGGCCCGTTCCTTCTTTGGTCTTTTGCTCTTTCATTCTTCTTGACTAATCTATCACATCGCATCCAAATAAGTTCCTGTCATCTACAATGATTCTTCATTGGAGGGGGAGGGGGTTATTATATCCTAGTAGACATGTTTGATAACTATTTGGTTTTTGAAAATTAAGCTTATGAACAACACTTCCACATATAGATTTCTTTGTTTTGTTTTTCTACTTTTTACCAAGGTTTTCAAAATATAAATCAAATTTTGAAAACTAAAAAAGTAGTTTTGAAAATTTTGTTTTTGTTTTTGGTATTTTATCAAGAATTCAAATCTAAGATGAAAACCATAGTAAAGAAGTTGTAAGGAAAGAAACACAATTTAAAAAAATCAAAGATGAAATACCAAATGGTTATCACAAGGGGAATGGACTATGGAGGGGGACTAGTGGCCACTGATTTTCCTCAAAACTTCGTACCTTCAGATCTGTTACATAATGTACGACTTTGGTAGCCTTCTGATGTTTCTTGAATTCATGTGACATATTGTGATTCAATGCCTACTATTACCGATTACAACAGTAGGATAGATGTAGAAAATTAGTAATGAAGATCCTCATGTCCATAGAAAATTTCCGATTACTGTTTAGCATCTGACTAGTGATTATCTGTAGTTTAAAATAATTTAATTTGGTGCGACTTTGATCAGCATGGAGATTTTTTATCTCTCTTATTTTATTTCTGATAATGATTTACCAGGTTCCGAGGCGATGTTTGCAGATCTTTGCTATTTCCCTGTGCGGTCAATACAGGTAGGAAGATGTAATTCAAGATTGTCGAGTTAGTCTTCACACACATTCTTTCTAGATGATGCTTTGCACTTTTGAAGATGTTATTTGTGCAACCTGTTGCCTTTCAGCATTTCCCGCTTTTTCTTGTCTAATAACACTTGGTGAATGTTTGCAGCTTACATTTGTCTTCCTCGTCTTGCCTTGTCTTTTCTTGGGTTATTTGGGTCAAGCTGCCTACCTGATATCAAACCACAATGGAGCTGAGCATGTTTTTTATAATTCCGTTCCCAGTAAGGCTCATTAACCATCTGTATTGATTTGCAAAGCTCGATGATTTTACATCTTCACAAGCTTCAGTCTCAGTGGGTGCATTTGCTTATACAATTATTTTGATTTCTGTCTACAGAAAGTGCCTTCTGGCCAGTTTTTCTCATCGCTAATGTTGCTGCATTAATTGCCAGTAGAGCAATGACTACGGCTACCTTTTCGTGTATAAAACAATCGACAGCACTTGGATGTTTTCCTCGTCTTAAGATCATTCATACATCTAGGAAATTCATGGGGCAGATCTATATCCCGGTGTTGAATTGGTTTTTGTTGGCAGTTTGCCTGGTGGTCATCTGCTCCATATCTAGCATGTATGAGATTGGAAACGCATATGGTAATGTTCACATTTTCTCATGATCTGTATTTTCCATTGTTTTACCAGAAATTATTTTTCTTTGAGGATAAGATGGCCCATGTTAGATAAATATAGAACACGTTTCCATCTTAACGAGTCTACCTAACTCAATCCAATATTTTTTAATTTACAATGAAAGCTTTTAGTTTTTTTTTGTCCAAATAGTGTATGGTATATTCGGGGGCATATGGAGGCTGCGTTATTGTCCCCTTGTCCAATAATGCTTTTACCCTTTACTCTTTTGTATTGCATATGTTATTTCTACCTATCTTTATGCTAAACTAATCTTTCGAGCAGGTATTGCTGAGCTGGGAGTGATGATGATGACAACTATCTTGTTAACCATTGTAATGCTTCTTATATGGCAGATAAATATTATCATCGTGATGGGTTTTGCGATGATCTTTCTTGGGATAGAACTGATATTTTTCTCGTCTGTCTTATGGGGTGTGGGTGATGGAAGTTGGATCATATTGGTCTTCGCAGTGATTATGTTCTTCATTATGTATATCTGGAACTACGGAAGCAAGCTCAAGTATGAAACTGAAGTCAAACAAAAGCTGTCAATGGATTTAATGCGGGAACTCGGATGCAATCTCGGGACAATCAGAGCTCCTGGCATCGGTTTGGTCTATAATGAACTAGTGAAAGGAATACCTGCAATATTTGGCCATTTTCTGACTACTCTTCCTGCTGTTCATTCAATGATCATATTTGTCTGTATCAAGTATGTACCAGTTCCTGTTGTGCCTCAGAGTGAGAGATTTCTTTTCCGCCGAGTCTGCCCAAAGAGCTATCACATTTTTCGCTGCATTGCCAGGTATGACATGCAATTTCCCTAAGAAATGTGTTATATTTCATAACCGCTCTTCCCATAATTAAGAAGGAGACTCTGCTAATGTGAAAAGAAAGGTTGATCTTTTAAGTATGTGACTAATTTAGATAATTAGATGTGATACTCTACCTTTATATGATCTTTCATTGTGGGCTCATCACTTAACAGGTATGGTTACAAGGATGTCCGAAAAGAAAATCATCAGGTATTTGAGCAGCTCTTAATTGAAAGCCTTGAGAAATTCATCCGTCGAGAAGCACAAGAAAGATCATTAGAGAGTGATGGAGATGACGATACTGATTCCGACGAGATCCATAGGTCGCAACTTCTCATAGCCCCCAATGGAAGTGTCTATTCACTTGGCATTCCTCTCCTCGCTGAATTCAACGAGGCTAGACCCATAACTGAAATCATCAACGTACCAGAAGAGGTGCAGCCAATTGAATCTCTAGACCCCTCAATCCCAGATGCAGAGCAATCACTTGAGAGAGAGCTTTCCTTTATAAGAAAGGCTAAAGAATCAGGAGTAGTGTACCTTCTCGGTCATGGAGACATTAGAGCAAGAAAGGATTCTTGGTTTATCAAGAAGCTGATGATCAATTACTTCTATGCGTTTTTAAGAAAGAACAGTAGGAGGGGCATTGCCAACTTGAGTGTTCCCCACACCCACCTGATGCAGGTTGGCATGACATATATGGTTTAGAAGCTCAATTTTGTTGCCAATTTACTGTAGAATCAAATCCGATATGAAGATTACCAACTATGTGTGGTATGAGTGAAAGAAGTTCGAGAAAAAACAAAAACAAAAAATGGAAAATGGTCTTTTGCAATCTCCGGTGCACTACAATGCAACATACAGTTGATTTTCTATGGCCATCTGGATTCAGAGGAAGCTCTGTTACACCCTTGGTTACTCGGAGGGCTTTTCGAGGTTGTTGCCTGTGTAGTTCGTTCATTCGTGTTCATGCATGGTGATGAACGCCTGAGATATTTGAAATTTCGTGAATTCTGTTGATGCAAATCCCTCGCTGTAGATCTCTTACGACTTAAAAAGACCTCTTTGGATTAGTTTGGCCTCCATCCAACCTTTAGATGCATCAATGATTCAGTCTTGTAGTGAGTTGTTTTTACTGTAGCTTATTTATATCCCTTGCTTACTCTTTCCCCTTTTCATGATAATGCAAAATCGTGCTGGTAGTTGAATTTCTATTCAGATTTTTGTGCCTCGATTTCAAGAAATCCCATTAAATGAGGGTATCCCATCCCTCTGACCCATTTGAATGAAACAGATGTTCACTACTTATGTAGAAAAGAATATTTTCAATTTCAGTTACTTGAAATCCAGAAGCCCAGCTTGTGTATGCTGTAAACTATTATGGAAGAGACCATCTGAACATAACGCAGCCGAATAAGTTAGTGCTCAGATCATTAGGTTTTTCGGGTCGAAACTTGTCCAACAAGAAATTTCGCTACCTTAGGACTATTATAGTTACAGCCACTGTTCATTAGGGCTTCGGTCGTCAGCTCCCTGGTAATTCGGTCACTAACTTCCTTGACCTTCCGACACTGGGCAGACATCAGCCCCCATACATGGTCTTACAACTTTGCAGAGACTAGTGTTTTCACAGGGAAGGAAGAGATGAATTGATATATTTTTTTATTGGAGTGTTGCTGCAAAATAAACACGTGTATTGTCGAGGTTAAATTACCATTTAATATTACAGAGTGACAAGTGCATTATTCATTTCCATAGCACATCACGTCGCCAGAAAAGGCTCAGTAGGCAACCATGGGCGCAGCAGTAACCTGAAATGAGCCATAATACTAAGGAACCTGTAGATAACATGTTATTTTTTGCTCCATCCTTGTTCTATTCAGAACCATGTGGAACACCTTCCTCTACGAGCTATGCATTAACACTTTCTGGTTCAAAAATAGCTCTCTGTTAGCAAACAACTCCATGCTATGCCCATGGCTCATCCATGCTGAGGGACCAGATACATAATATAAATCCACCATCAATGATCAAAAAGCCTGCAAATTTTCATAAGAAATTCAGCACACAAAAATGTTGATCAAATCACTGTAATAGCTCTCTCTGTCCTGTAGTCAAACCAGCTACTTTCCCTTGTCTTTTCATGAGGTAGGCGCAATCTGGTCACAATTAGAGACCAATATCTATCATGCTAAAGGTAAAACAAGCATTCCAGGCTATGAGTCAAGAGATAGAAGTAAGATCAGAGAAATGTATAATCCACAACAGGAAATAAACTATAGCCACGTAAAAAGATTGGACACGGGCCACAAGAATTTTTTGTGGTGCACAACTGCAAGGAGAAAGTTGATATTGCATATCTCAAATGAAGTCCAAACAGATAAGGCATATATCAAGAGGCTGTTTCGAATCTTTCAATCTCACGTGTCGTTGAACTTGAATAAAAAGAAAACACTTATTTGATGTTGGTGTATATAAAAACATCCCGTCATCATCGTTACTGCAGTAAGTGAACACTTGAAGGCAACCTACATCAATTTAAACCTGGAAAATTTTACACTGATGTATCATCCAATTGTCATCATTATTGCAAAGGGCAAGTAGGAACTTGAGGGCGAGCTACATCCATTTGAACCAGGAAAACTTTCCAACAAAGATAAAAAGTCGTCATCATCAAGATTCCAGTCCCATACACCTAGACACGGCGTTGCTTTGGAAGTCTGCAACCATTGTGAGCACGTCTTGTAGTATCTTCAATGTAAACAATTGGATTTTGATCACGTTTAGAGTCTGTAAAACCATCTCTCCAACTCAAGATCGCTTGTTTTTTCTTCTTAAAGTAAGTAAAGCCTTTCACCCTCATCACAACTGATTTCAACCCCAATTTTTTAGATTCACGGCCAACATACTCTGCAGTTGCTTCGGCAGCATAACGGGACAGTTTAGGCCCTCCTTTCAGTTCTTCAAGACGGCCAGAAGAGGCCTTAAGCTTTGTGTTTCCTTTGTTATCCGTAACAGTGATAAATGTATTGTTACGCATCAGCTTTACATGGACAATATCAGCATTGTGCTCCATATTGGGTGGTCTAGGAAACTGAGAACTACCCATAAAATCCATTCCATCTTCCTCTAAAATTCCCCTGACGAAGTTCATGGACTTAAAGTTCCTTCCTGTATCAGCATTCGGCCGACCATCGTAGTGTACATAACATCTAGAGCTAGAAGAATAAGGAACAGAGACATTTTCACTCGAACGCGCCAAACCCCAACAAGGCCCTTGAGCTCCCAAGGCTTTCCAAGCACGTCCTACAATCTCCCGTCCAACATTCACAGAATCACCACGTGGAAGGTTCACACAGCCTGCGATCCGCAAAAGAAAACACCCGAAAAATTCACTCCGCCAGAAAATGACATCCTTAACTTTATCTCTCTTTAGTGAAAAGCAAATGCATATTTAATAGATCCAGAAAGAAACATCTTAATCACTTAACAAACCATTCCTATACCTAAAACGCCAAACCCCATTTAGAACATAAATTATAAGTCCCGATAATCGAAATTTCCCGAATCAGATAGCAAGTAAAAAAATAAAATTCACCTGAATCCTGCCTGTCTAGTTGAACGGATCCAGAGATCTCCGATCCGTGAGAAAAGTGGAGAGAGGACATGGGAGAACGAGCATCAGTGCCAAAAAATGGAGAAATGGAGAGGCGAGAAGAGGAGAACGAAGAGCCATGAGAGAGAGAGGACGAACGGAAGAGAGACGAGAGGTGAGGGAAGGGAAGTCTCCGCATCGTCGTCGATCGGCCGCAGCAGAGGTTCCGTTGATACGAATGTCGAACGAAAAAAAACCCTAACTTACTTGCCGGCCCAATTATAGTGCTCTTTTTTTTTCTTTAGTAGATGGTTTTCTTATAAGTTAGGTTTATTTTTTAAAAAATAAATCCCTCTTTTTTAAATAAATAAATAAGGGGCCAAAGTAATTAAAATAAATACAACTTTTATCTAAAAAAATGTCTCGTAATATTTTTAAATTTTTTAAAAAATACTTTTATAGGTAGTTTTTTTTTTTAATAAAAAATGATTAATTATTTATTTAAAAAATACTCTTAAAATTTTTTATTAATAAATTCAACTTTTTATAAATAAAATAAAATTTATCTGATATAAATCATCGTACCTATCTCGTAAATTATCTCTTTTTAATATTATTTTTTAAGTATTAATGTTTCTATCTGTTCGTATCCAAACTTATTTTATATATATATATTTTAAAATTTGAAGGATTATCTTTTTCTTTAATTTTAATGGAATTATTAAAAAAAAATAAAGTTTATGGTATTTTTTAGATGATATTTAAAATTCTGAGGGTATTTTTATTAATTTACCATAAATAAATTAATAAATACAGACTCTCGAACTCAGTTCAATGAGTTAAATACATTCAAATGCTCGTTCCCATGTATTGTTGAATCGAAACTAATAATAACAATAATTTTAGTATAACACATCTTTCAACTATAACGACGTTTAATCTTTAAAAGTGAAGCGTCGATACGAGTTAAAAGTTTTGGTATATTAATTTTTAAACTTTTATGGTAAAAATACAAAATGTGTTCGTTTGAAAAAAAAAAAAAAGTTAGAACTTATTATTTTGCATTATAGTCTGATAAAATTTCATAAATAGTCTCTATAATTTGATAAACGTCACGTTTTAATATTAAATATATGGTTTTGATGTTTATCATGCGGTCATGTTCCGTTCACCAGTTCCTTATATGTACCTTTTATTTAAACAGCTACCGACGAAACCTTATTGAGTCATCAGTAATCGTATCTCGTTGAACGTTGAGTTAAATTCAAAGAAACAACTTCAATCCATCGTGCAAATAATTAGCTCACAAAACTTGTTGAAATATTGGTAATAGATCGAAGAAGACGAAATCATCTCTTTTGTTATCGCTCGATACTTTAAGATCGTTCTGTTTAGAGTCGATAACTAGTGGTGGGCAGGATAAGGGAGAGGATAAAAATAATAATAAACAAAAGTAGTAAATAAAAAGGGCAAAAACTAAAAGTGTATTTATTATTTTTTGAAAAAAAAAAACTATTTTTGAATAAAAAAATAAAATTTTACCCAAAAAGAAAGTATTAATATGTACAATATTACGTCAGCAGGCACCAAAAAATTAAAGGCAAAGGAATCTTCCAGCGGTGTTGCCACGTGTCGTGAATCGAGCGGATTGCTACAAATTTGAACCAATCAGATTCGTGAAACTGATCGGATCTTGTCCGAAGCTCTCGTCCACGAATTCTGATATCCCATCTCTCTTCTTTACGTCCTGCTGCCACGTGTCCAATTTTGCGCTACTAGTTTTTATAATTAAGGAGAATAGTAAAGTATTCGTCCACCCAAAAAGAGAAAAAAAAAAGGGAAAAAAAAAAAAACTCTCGAAGTCGAAGCCTTCCTGGAGCTCTCTTCAACCGGACTGAAGAACCCACCTAGGGCTCACCTTTGCTTTTTTGTTTTTGTCTTTGCTGGGATTTTTTCTTCGATCCCCAATCGTTGAATTATCTGGATTGCTTGGGATTTTCTGAGCGGGATTTTTGGGGTCCAGGTGAGTTTTTTTTTTTTTTTTTTTTTTTTTTTTTTTTTTTTTTTTTTTTTTTTTTTTTTTTTTTTTTTTTTTTTTTTTTTTT